CAGAGAACTGTCAGAAATAGGCTATTTCTGACAGTTCTCTGACATTCAATACTCCATACAGCGGTTGAGGAGTGAATGTCAGAGAACTGTCAGAAATAGCCTATTTCTGACAGTTCTCTGACATTCACTCCATACAGCGGTTGAAACATTGTATCTATTTGTTTCCATTTATGGAAACAAATAGATACAATGTTTCAACCGCTGTATGGAGTGAATGTCAGAGAACTATTTTCATCCTACTTCTTCTTCTTCTTCCTCTTCATCCTCATCCTCTTCTTCTTCTTCTGATGAGGATGAGGATGAAGAAGAAGAAGAAGTAGGATGAAAATAAGAAGAATTCCAAGCCGGCAAAAAGTGTATCTGCAGAGCTCCGCTAAGTGTATCTGCAGAGCTCCGCTAAGTGTATCTGCAGAGCTCAGCGGTTGAAACATTGTATCTATTTGTTTCCATTTCGCATCGAATCGAATTTCTTCCTCAAATTCGCGAATCAGCCGAATCGAATTTTTGAATAATTCGCTCATCTCTAGTCTCTAGCTGTGGGCCAGATAAAATCTTGTACCTGGCCAGATATGGCCCATGGGCTGTAGCTTGGAAGCCCCAGGTGTAGTCATACAGTATGTACCTCTCTTTTAGGTTTTCCAGAGGAGGATGGATGGATCAGTGGATTTCTTTAGGAACTGGAATGACTATAAGAGAGGATTTGGGAATCAGAACAGTGAATTCTGGCTTGGAAATGATAACATTCATCGCCTCACGTCCACAGGTAGGGTGATAACACAAATAGAGACACACAAAACAATTGCTGATCTGACAATAAATTGTGGAGCAAGATTTGATAGTTTGGAACATAAATAGAATCATACATTTGTGATCAGCAATTTTTTCAGTCTATACTCATCATGGTTTCACATGTGACCAGACCCAGAAGTTCTCAAAACCTGGCCCAGAGACTCCAGCTAATCTAATTATTGTCTTAAATATTTGACAAATATCAAAGATAGCACACAAGTGTAGCATCCTCCTAGGTTTAGGAAAGGTTGCTAGGTAAATTTAGTTGGACTCCACTGTATTCAGTGGAGCAGAGGTTGATTGGTTAGGGCTGCTCAGGTTTTCACAGGCTACTGCTCTGCTACTACCCCCTGTATTCTAGAGATATTCGGAACATAGTGGGAGGGAGAGCAGAGTCTGCAGTTTGAATATTTATGGAATCTCAGCCAATCCCTGGGGAGGTGTGCCTAAAAGCTAGGGAAAGAGCACATAAAGAGCCTGAGCCTTGAGTGGCAAAGGAGTCTGCAGTATGGTGGTATAAGGCAGCATCCCAGGGTCCAGCACTCTGGAGGAGACCCCTGTTGAGCGGCTTTGCCCTCCATGGCAGCAACCAGGGAAGAGAGCCAATTGAAGAAGGTTCCAGCTAGGCTTAGCTGGGGGGGGGGGGGGGACTAAATGAAGGGCATTCCTGCAATCGTAGCATATTATGACAGACTTATCTTAAAATGAAGCCCTCCAGTGGTGTGCTGTTACCCCTGAGAGAGCTTCCGTCTTCACCCAGTCTTCCTTCCAGGTTCACGGGCTCCGGCCATTTGGATGGCCAAAACTTGATGACATAATTTCCGCACATGCTCTCAGGAATCACGGTTGTGGCACAATGCTCTGAAGGGACGGCATGCTCAGTATGCACTGTGCATACAACGGTGATGTCACCAGCTGCAAAAATTGTTAAAATCTCCCAGATAGTGCTTGTTTATGAAATATTATTTGTACCTACAGGTAAGCTTTTATATACCGTAAGCTTACTTGTAGATAAGAGTCAGTAAGTGGTATTTACTACTGCTTTAAATGCAAACAGCTTAAGTATCTGAATTTATCCGGATATCAGCCTCTCGTAGTATCTGTACAGCAGGACTGGAGTGTGAGAGAAAGAAGCAACACAAGGAACCAACTAATTCACAGGCTGATAGGAGGAGAGAGCAGAGTGACAGAGACGAGCTTATCACTGAGCTGCTTCTCCTTTCGCTATCCACTATCCGACTAGAGCGGGTCCAGGATGTCCTGGGCTCAGAAGAAGATGGTTGAATAATGCTGGCCATCAAGGACAACTAGTGGCAAAAAAAAAAATACTTAAGGGGGAAACCCTTGACTGAAAATAAATATTGCAGCAGGTTTTTATTTTTTTTATGTCTTTTAATGGCCTATTCAATTTTATCTTGGTGTTTTTGGCTGGTGTCCTGCTTTAAAGTAATAGCTCAAAATGCCGACTCTTGGGTGCATAATGAAAATGAATTTTGCCTAGCGTGCATGTTCATTGACTGACTTAACTTCATCCTTTTCTTCTATTGTCTTAGGAACGTTTCAGCTACGGGTCGACCTTGCTGATTTTGAAAACGGACGTTTTTACGCTTTGTATGGCAATTTCCGCATCGAGGGGGAGACAAATAACTACACACTGAGTGAAGTTAGCTACAGCGGAGGAACTCTGAGTAAGAACATATACTATGGTGTTATATTAAATAGCATGTGAGTCAAAATTGTTTCTGTTTTGCACAGAGGGAGGGAGGGTTAGAACCTCTGTCTTGTTTTTACTTTGTGCTGTGGATGTTTCATTCCTGTGCCAGCAATGGGTGTCACAAAGACAGGATGTGATGGGATATCATTCAGGCACAGGTACATTTAGAAAAGTCCATTAATAGAGTGGAGAGACAGAAAGTAAAGTATTCCGCATTCAGGTCATATGCCCATAAATGCAAGTACTGATTATTACAGCGTCCAGCCGCATCCAGCAACAGTGTATTTCAACTTTTCACAGGTCTTGACAGGCTGCTGGCAGCAGGGCTTGGCGCTGCTCCAGTACCTTCTGGTTACTTAAAAACGCTATAATTTAATGCTGAGGAGTCAAACTACCTGTGTGCATGAAGCCTTAGGCAGGAATGTTTGATGCATTCTGATTATTCTGACTCAGACTACAAGGCCATAAACTTTGTCTCCAGCGATGTATATAGCTATACAATGTGGTGTTGAATTTATTCCTTGCATCGGGTCAGATAGTTTAACTCAATGAATAAACTCACATGTTGAGGAAGTCAGATGAGGAAACCCATTCGAATGTTCCGTTTAATGGAGATTAATCATAAGTAGAAAAACGATAATGTTGTAGCCTCATGGAAAAATGCATTTGGTAAGACAAGATACAGTGGAATGATTACAGAGAGAGGCAGGGGGGAGGGATATACACAAGTACGGTGAGAGAAAGAGCTCAGCTAAGACAGAAGGAGACAGCTTAAAGACACAGAGCAATAATAAACAAGTGATGGTCACAGAGAAATATCAATAATTAAAATAGTGTAACACAACACTGATCAACTACACAATAACATTCAAATGATGCTAGTTTGCTGCCAGGCTATGACCCCATATTGGGCTCTGTGTCAGTAAAGTATATGTAAACCCTAAGGGGGAACTGATCATTTTACGCACGCTCTACTTCCTGATGACTGTTATCACTTGTCATTGTTCCCTGCTTGAGAGTTTCCCCATAATTCATGCAAAGACTTTTAGGCCTAGTATGAAGTTTAACAGAGACCCCATGCAATAAAACAATATAAAAAATTATATGAGGTACCCCAAACGCCCTTCAGACCTGGTATGGATTTTAATGGGAAACCCCATGCAAAAACCAAGAAACAATAAAGCATGAGGTACCCCCCACAAATCCATACCAGACCCTTATCCGAGTATGCAGCCTGGAAGGCCAGGAAAAGGGGTGGGCAAGCATGCACCTCCCTCCCTAAAACATGCCCTCAGCAGTGGGGAGTGGCCTCCCTGGAAAAGCACTGTGACCTCATGGTAATGAGGACTAGGTCCTCTACAACCCTGGCCCAATGGTGGTGGGGAGGTCTGTCAGTGAGGTATTATCAGAAGCTGGAAGTCTGGTAGCCCCTTTAACATTAAGGGAGCACCCAGATACCACCCTCCCCCATGTGAATGAGTAAGGGGTACTCAGCACCCCTACTCATTCACAAAAAAATAATGTAAAAAGTAAATAAAAAACACATAGTTTTTGACCTTTACTTGAAAAACCCAACCATCATCAATCACATTGTCCAACGTCAATTATGATGCTCAAGGGCTGCTGAATGAAAAAAGCGCCACCTGCCAACACATAGTGGAACCCAATGACTGCATGCCCTGGCAGGGAGCAGCAGTTTTAGTAATGTTTTAAGTGAAACATTCAAAATGTAAAACTCTATTAGCCATTGCCCTCCTGAGAATTTACCCCCCTTTCTGACCAGGCCATTTTTTGTGATATGGCACTGCGTTGCTTTAACTGACAATTGAACGGTCATGCAATGCTGCACCCAAATGAAATGTATGTCCTTTTTTCCCACAAATAGAGCTTTCTTTCAGTGGTGTTGGATCGTCTCTGCGTTTTTTATTTTGTTGTGCTATAAAAAAAAATTACAATTTTGAAAAAAAACACAATATTTTTTACTTTTTGCTATTAAACATGTCCATTAAAAACATTTTAAAAATCAAATGTCATCATAAATTTAGGCCAAAATGTACTCTGCAAATGTCTTTACTAGAAAAAAATCCCAATACATGTAAATTAATTAGTTTACGTGAAAGTTATAGCATTTACAAATGGTGGCATAGATACTGGAAATTTTTTTTCTTTATACTAGTAATGGCTGCGATCAGAGACGGATTGCGGGACTGCGGCAGGCATTCTGACACTGTGGTTGAACTGACTAACTGTCATCCTCAGTGACACCAATACAGTGATCAGTGCTAATAAAAAAACACTAACACTGTACTAATGACACTGGACAGGAAGGGGTTACCATCTGTGGTGTTTTATTTATTTGTGCTGTGTGTGCGCTTTACTATGTCAGCACAGTGCTTTGTTTTGCTCTGCTATGCGGAGTAATACAAATCAATGTGCAGGAGCTGAGAGGGGGGAGATCTGTATTGTTTACATACAGGTCTCTCCCCCCTCCGTGATACACGCCGATCGCCGGGTGCCAGTGGAGAATCACCCGCCGGTACCCGGTTACTGACAGGTGAGGCCGCCAATGGCAGCACAGGTAGGGCACACACGTGGCTCGCGCGCCCCATACCCCAAAATGCAAAATCATGTATATATACATGATTTTATGCACCACTGCCACCCTGTAGCAGTATTTCTGCTATAGAGTGGCAGGAAAGAACATACCTGGCAGATGTCCTGACCCTATTTGTGAAGTGGAGCATCTGCAAAATGTATACAACTTACTACAGCAACATTAATATTTAGGCCTCGTTTACACAGGTGCTGAGGCCCATATAACATGCATGTGATATTTTTTCTTGTGTCTCTAGTGTATAGGTACTGCATTCAGGCAGCCCATTGATGTGTAATAAGATGCAGTTGCTGCATGGACACAGCTGATCATCCTAATGTGACAGGCATGCATGTGAACAGCCCCCCGAAGACACACTGGGGAAGATTTACTAAAATTGAATTGTGCAAAATGTGGTGCAGCTTTGCATAGAAACCAATCAGCTTCCAGGGTTTATTGTCTAAGTGTAACTGAACAAGCTGAAGTTAGAAGCTCCCATGCACACATTTATCAGATTCTGAGTGCTCCAGTTTTACTAAATCTTCCCCACTGTCTGCATTCAGCACCACTCACCAGCATGTCTGTCACATTAGGATGAGCGGCTATGCCTATGCAGCCACTGCATCCTAATAGACTTGGGCTTCCTGCATGCATCACCTGGAAAAAATGGCCATTCATGAATTAGGAGCCTCAGTGCCCATAAGGAGCCTCAGTGCCCCTATGAAGGATACTTTACAAAGAAAAAAGTGTGTTTAAATTGATGATACGTGACAGCTCCCTGCTGCTTTATTCTGTTCGTAAACAAACAGCCAGGAAATCCATTCATCTATACCAGACCCTTATCCTGGATGAAGGTCTGGTATAGATGTTAATGGGGTGACCCTACATAAAAAAATGGCTTGGGGGTTCCCACATGAGTCACACCAGGCCCTTTAGGCCTGGAATTAAATTTAAGTGGAATCGAGTGCAAAAAAAACAAAAAAAAGCGTGAGGTTCCCCAATCTCTATACCAGACCAGACAAAAAAGAGATACACTTAAAAATCCATACCAGACCCTCAATCAAGCTTGCAGTCTGCCAGGTCAGGAAATAGGTGGGTGAACGTGCACTCCCCTGAACCATGTAAGCCCACATGCCCTCAACACTGGGGTGGGAAGTAAATTGCCAGGGCCCCATGTGGATGAAGAGAAGAGCCTCTTTCTGACACCCCTGGTCCAGTGGTTGTGGGGGTCTGTGAGAGGGGGCTTATCAGAATCTAGAAACCCCCTTTGGCAATAAGGGGACACCCAGATACCAGGTACATAGTGCCCCTACTCATTCACAAAAAATGTAAAGTGTAAAAAAAAAAAAAAAAGAAATAGAAACACATGTTTTGACAAGTCCTTTATTAAATAGCAGGCCACATGCCCTTAACAATGAGGGCACCTTGCTAGGGAGGACCCCCCTGGCAAAGCACTTTGTCCCCATGTTGCTGAAGAGAAGAACTTCTTCCCCACAAACCTGGCCAGGTAGTTGTGGGGTTCTGCAGGCAGGGGACTTATCAGAATTTGGAGTCCACCTTTATCAATAAGGGGCACCCACATACCACCCCGATGTGAATAAGCAAAGGGTACATAGTAGCCCTGGTAACAAAAAAATAAAAAAACCGGGATGCCCTCAACCATAAATAATGGTGAATTGTAAACAAAGGGATTTCAACAAGAATAACTCCAAATACTGGGATATACTAATTGCCGACTCACATTTGAATATCACACTGTGGTGTCCTCAGAACCAATTGGAGCATAAGAAAAAGGAGAAGAGACCAAGGGAAAGAGATCCCTTAGGTCAAGGGGTCCCAATGAGGATAAACTGCGGCTTGTTTGAAGAAGAAGCCCACGTGACTCGGTGGGCGAAACGCATTACGTCACATCCAGGTGATGCCCACGACTGCGCAGTCCCAGCTGACCAGCAGCTCCACGCCGGGTCTCCTCCCTGCGCGCTCTGCTTGGAATCACACATGGTCTCCCATGATCTCCCCAATGGGACTACTACCTGGCCGCATGGCTGCAGACTCTGCATGCATCCCTGACACCGTAGGTGGACCCGACCGCATCTCTGCACGCTCTGCATTCACCACTACACATGTGGAAGCTCTGATTACACTATCCCATAGCTTTTATAGCTGAAATATATACCCCAATGTGTATGTGTTTCATCATTCTGGGATACCCGGCAAGCAGCAACAGGCACTACACCTTTGGATTCGGTGAGGGATGGCATTTTCATGACTTTGGGGCAGGATGTGGTGAGACCATCAAGTTTCATTTATATCAGCTATATAACTAGCTATCTGCTTTAAGCATTGAACTTGCATTACCATCCAATTAATTCAGCTGAAAATATGTGATATCCATCCATTGATTCAAGTTTATCAGTTTATATTGCATTTATTGCTTTATTCGCATTAATCAACTATACCCATAGTATATCCCAATTCGGGCTCTGCTATGTGGGGACTGTGCTGGTGTTATCATCTATATCAAGTCTTGTGAGGGAGAGCAAATTATCTATGCATTTATCACAAGTTGACATGACTGTCAGTCATCGCATAATTATATGCAGGAAAGAACTTGCCTATTGATGGACTTTCTGTTCCCACATGGGATTTATCTCTATATACATAATGGTATACTATTTTTGGCACTCCACATATCTAAATTGTGTACATTGAAATTGGTATCTAGTCTATTCTACAATATAAAAAAAGAAGTGCTCACAGGTATAGTGGAGTGTGCCTAGGGAAGAAACAGATCCTTGAAACCTTAAGCTTTAATGATGATCTTTCTAACCCACCAAGAAATGGTGGAAAAAGATGCAGGTTCCTCCATAGAGGGACCATCAGGAACAATTAAGAGATAGTTGGTCTTTCTAATGGAAATGATGGTTGTGAGGTAAACTAACACAGCCCCAATAAAATCCAAGCAGTGATCTTCTGAAGCAGTCATACAGAGGAGTTAAAAATTATGTCCTGGTTGAGGTGAAAGGTTAACCCTACCTTAGGTATGAAGGAAGTGCTGGTTTTCAACTCTACCTTGTCCTATAAGACCAGAAAGGCTCCTAAATTAAACACTTCAATCATAGAAGTGGTGGCCAGGAGAAAAAACAAACTTGTGAGTAATTAGGGATTAGGCAGTTCAAAAGGCATTATTTGAAGTGCTGAAAGATTTCAGACTGCACAGAGTTGTGGGAAAGTGCACAAGGGAGCCAGGAGTTAAACAAAGGTCCTTTACAAAGGTCCTTTACAAAGGTCCTTTACAAAGGTCCTTCACAAAGGTCCTTCACAAAGAATGGAAACCAGCTGTCTCTGGAAGAGGACTGCAAGTGAGAGACAAACTCTTGATGATCTTCTAGATTGTAAGCTCGAAAGAGCAGGGCCCTCGATCCCCTCATGTTTTGCATTGTATTGGTATTGTTCTGTCACATGTTCTGTCCCCCTTTGTAATGTACAGCGCTGAGTGAACTATTGGCGCTTTATAAATACTGTATAATAATAATAATAATAATGATGCTTGTCCAGGGCTATCACCAAAAAGGTCAGGATTCGTCCCACTGAAAATTTCCTGGAGAGAAAGTTGTCTCACACTAAGCAAAGTACTGTAGAGTTTCCATGTGTGGTTATAGACCTTGCTATAGACTTCCTAGCTTTAAGCATCATGCGGTTCCTCCATTTAGAAATGTCTCTGTCTCTCAGGACCTGAGCTTCAACAGACATGAAGGTAAAGCCAGAAACCATGAAGAAGGATGGGAAATTGGTCCTTGAAACAGAAGATGATATTAAAGTTCCCATGCAATGCCTGCCAGTTTTATCAGGTTGGATTACCATGTCCACCTGGGCTAGTCTGGGGCTATGAGGATCACTGGAATTCCTTCCATCATTATGCTACAAAGTAGATTAGGGTGTGCTGTTGCCATGGAGACACTAGAGCATGGGTGTCAAACTGGCTGCCCTCCAGCTGTTGCCAAACTACAAGTCCCATGAGGCATTGCAAGATTGACAGTATCAAGCATGACTCCCAAAGGCAGAGGTATGATGGGACTTGTAGTTTCTCAACAGCTGGAGGGCCACCAGTTTGACACCCCTGCACTAGAGCATACACTGCTTCTGCTAGAGCAGGTGTAGGCAACCTTTGAGAGATGGAGATCTACCTGAACAACATGGAAGAGATCAAAGATCACCAGGGTGCTGCGTCCTTTTTTTTTTTTTAAGAAATGACCTTGGAAGTTTCCAATAAAAAGTAAAGACAGCATGAAGAAAACTTAGAAAAAAATATAATAAAACGAATGCCACTGTAAAAGTGGCCTACCTTAAAATGTTGTTTCAGTGAGAAACTTGACATTCACTTTCATTAACAATTTTTTTTTGATGTCTGGGGAGTAATTGCTCACCCCACAAGGCTGATGCTGGAGTCTATCATGAAAGCAGAACATCTGGTACTGCAAGCTGATTTGCTCGACTAGTTTAAGTAATGGCTGGCCTTAGTGCTAGTCTGGCCAGCACTCTTTGATTTCTGGCCAGTGTAAATTTTATGTAGGGCAGCATCCATCAGTCAGTAGTATGTAGGACAGTGTCCATCGGTCAGTAGTAGGTAGGGTAGTGTACAGAGGTCAGTAGTATGTAGGGCAGTGTACAGAGGTCAGTAGTAGACAGAGCAGTGTACAAAGTCGTATGTAGAGCAGTACACAGAGGTCAGTAGTATGTAGGACAGTGCCTAGGGGTCAGTAGTAAGTAGGACAGTGTACAGATGTCATTAGGATGCAGGGCAGTGTACAGTGGTCAACAGGACTAAGAGAAGTGTTCAGAGTTCGTCAGTATGAAGAGCAGTGTATAGAGATCAGTAGGGCAGAGGAAAGGGGTGAGCAAGTCAGGAGTTAGCAGGGCAGAGGACAGGGGGTCAGTAGGGCAGAAAACAGGGGGTCTGTAGGGCAGAGGACAGGATGTCAGAAGGAGGGGTCAGGATAGCATTGTACTGAGGGGATAGGAGGGCACAGTACAGGGGGTTCAGGAGGGCATGGTACTGGGGGCCAGGAGGGCATGGTACTTGGGAGTAAAGAGGGCACGCAACTGGGAGGTCAGGAGGGCATGGTACTCGGGGGTGTCAGAAGGGCACAATACTGGGGGTCAGGAGGATATGGTACTGGGGGTTAGAAGGGCACAGTACAGTGGGGGTCAGGAGGGTACAGTACAGGGGGGATCAGCAGGGCATGGTACTGGGGGGTCAGAAGGGCACAGTAGTTAGGGGTCAGTGCAGGGGGGTCAGGAGGGCACAGTACAGGGAGATCAGGAGGGCATGGTACTGGAAGGTCAGGAGGGCAAGGTACTGGAGGAGGTCAGAAGAGCACAGCACTGGCGGTCAGTTGAGTATGGTACCGGAAGTCAGAAGGGAACTGTTCTGGGGTCAGCAGGGCTGGGTACTGGAGGGTCAGGAGGGAATAGCACGAGGGTTAGGAGTGCATGCTACTGGGGGGTCAGGAGGGCATGGTACTGGAGGGGTCAGAAGGACACAGTACTGGAAGGTCAGGAGGGCATGGAACTGTGGGGGTGGGAGTCAGAAGGGCACAATACTGGGAGTTCAGGAGGGCATGGTACTGGGGGGGTCAGGAGGGCATGGTACTGGAGGGGTCAGAAGGACACAGTACTGGAATGTCAGGAGAGCATGGTACTGGGGGCATAGGCATGCACACAGGGTGTTCCAGGTGTTTCTTGGCACACTAATCACCCTGTGCAAGTTTGCATGTGTGTATGTATGTATATTTATATATACACTTTAACTGGTAAATATACAGTATAATTGTCTTCTTTCCTTCACAGGTGATTCATTTTCTCAGCACAGAAACATTCAATTTTCAACCAAAGATCATGATAATGATAAAAGCCCTCACAGTTGTGCCAATTCTTTCCAAGGAGGATGGTGGTATGATAGTTGTCATGATTCCAACCTGAATGGGCTTTATTTAAGGGGTAACCACACCAGCTATGCGAACGGCATAAATTGGAAATCCAGTCGTGGGTATCACTATTCCTACAAAGTCTCTGAATTGAAGATTCGTCCCCAGTCTTAAGGAAGTTAGAAGTTTCCGTAGACTCAGCATCAGATTTATTTTTATCATGTTAAGTGCATGCATCCTAAGTAACGTGTAACACACCTAAGTAATTATTGACACAGTATTTACCCAAACAATGATTTTTTTGCTTTTTTATTCAGTCACCTTTCAGGGTCAGCATCTACTTTTTGAACTGAGATGATGGTTTAGAGATGACACTGGTGCCTGTGCAGTTCATGGCTGTGTTCATAAATGACTGAGACAGATTGGCCTCATCTTGTGACTTGCTGCAAATTACAATGTTAGTCTGATGACAAGGGAAAGGAGACTGAGGAAACATTTCCTCCTGCCTGCTGTATACTGTTGCCTAAGTCCATGCATAGACACCTGCCTGGGTCTCAAGGACTGCTTTTTACTAATGTATTCATGAAGATTTGTAAATTTACTAAAGGGCCCGCTTTAATATCCCCTGCTATATTAATGCTTCCAGAGATTGCTCTTTTAAGCCTTCCAATAAATGGTATTTAAGGACAACTGCCATTTCCTTTTCATTTTTCAGTTTGTACATTCTGAGCAATCTAGGGACAGTTGACCTTTACCAATAAATTAGTTGAAAATGTGGGGTTTATGAAAGATATATACATTTGAATCATTCTATTTAAAAGTAACGAGTTTATAGAACTCCAGGAATGTATGCACTTTTAAAGGCTGGCTTATAACAGGTTAAGTCCAATGAGGTGTATGCCACCTTGTGGACTTATCTCTTTTATTTACAATGATTATATTTACAGTGCTCCTGGAGTACAGCTATTACTGTACTCTCAGTACTTTGATAGCAAATGCGGCTTTGCTACACGGCAGCTGCCCTGCCCATTCATCCCCTCTGTTATCCATTCATAGAATACTTTGCATTTTCTGAATGAGTCCACATAATACCTGGATAATATGACTGGACAGGAAGAGAGGAGGAGTGGGTAGAGAGCCTGCAAACCACGCCATAGTTTTTGCGGAGGAGGGCCAGTGTTGAAGTGCCAGAAGCACAGCAGAAGCCATGGCAGAAACAGGGGTGGGGTAGGATGGACATGTACCCTGGGCAGAGTGCTTTGTGTTCTGATGCGACCACTTGCCATTCATTTTACACATTTTCACATTGATCGCCCACTGCAGAAGTAACCCTGCCCCCTGCTGTTCACTGGCCTGGCCACCTTTTTCAATTTGCTCCTCCCTAGGCCAGCACTGCCCACAGCAGTGGATTCGTACAGAAGAACACTCCTGCCATGAGGTTCTGGTGAGCAAAGAATGAAGAGGAGGGGTGGGATGCAGAGCTTAGCAGATAAAGTGAGCTGTAAAGGTGAACTGAGAGGGGATTTGGGGTGTGAGGATGAACAGAGAGGGGTATCTGGGCTTCAGATGGGGTCTGGGGTGGTAGAGAGAGGGGAGCACAGAGGTAAGAGGAAAGGGGGTTGGGTTTCAGAGCTGAGCAGAAGGGGTTTTAGGGTGCAAAGGTTATTAGGGGGTTGGGGTCCAAAGGTGAGCAGAACAGGATTGGGTAGCAGAGGTTAGCAGAGAGTGTGGAGTACAGAAGTAAGTAGAGAGGGAAACAGAGGCTAGCAGAGGAAGAGGCATTGTAGCGCACAGGCTGGCAGATAGGGGGTGTTGAGGTGCAGATGTTAGACGAAAGGGGGGTTGGGGTGAAGACATGAGTGGGGGGGAGTTAGAGTTCATAGATAAGAATAGAGGTGGGTAGGGTGCAGACATGAGTAGAAAGGGGGTTGTAGTACAAATGTGACTGCATAGGTAAACAGAGTGTGGGGAAGTGAGTGCAAATTTGATCAGAGAGGAAAGAGGGTTTAGAGTGCGGAGATTATTTGGGGGGGGGGAGGGGTTAACAGAGGGGGAGAGGTTTGGGGTGCAGGGTTTAGCAGAGAACAGTGTTGTGGATGGTAAGGTGAGAAGAGTTGGGTGCAAAGGTAAGTGGAGGGGGAGTTTGGAATGCAGACATGAGCAGCCAATCGGGCTTGGGAACAGAGATTATCAGAGGGGGAGGGGTTGTGAAGAGGGTAGAAGAGAGGGGTGTTTGAGGAGCAGAGATGAATAGGGGGTACAGAGGTAAGCATGGAGAGGAAGTTGATATTCTATGGTTAGAAGAGAGAGGGGTTTGGGGTGCAAAGGTGAGAAGGGTGGGGGAGGTGGACTGGAGCTATGGACAAAAAGGGGATTGCAGTGCAAAGGTGAGTAGAGAGGGGACGTTTGTGCGGCAGAGAGGGTGCTTTGGGATGCAGAGGTGAGCCGAGAGCTGGGGTGGACTGACCATTCGATCACTCGGGCACTGCCCGAGGGCCCAAGGTCAATAGGGGGCCCCATGAGATGCCCCTGGTACCTTTCATTGTTATTTTCATAGGCTTTTTTGGGTGTGGGGGCGAAGGACACAGGGGCCCCATGATCCCCTATTGCCCGGGGGCCCCATGAGTTGTCAGTCCGCCCCTGGCCGAGAAAGGAGGATTTTTTTCCTGTGGGGTCATTTTTGCTGGGGAGGAGGTCTGCTTGAAGGGGGTTGCTTTTGGGTGATTTCCTGGGGAAGATTTTTGCTTAAAGAAGAGGCTTTTGCTAGGGGGAGGGGTTTGCTTTGATATTATATTTATGATATATTATAGGTATTTTTATAGCACCAACAATTTTCACAGCGCTTTGCATATATTGTACATTCACATCAGTCCGTGCTCTCAAAGACCTTACAGCCTAAGAGCCCTACCTCCCATTCATAAATACACATATTAGGGCCAATTTAGACCGGAGCCGGCTAACCTACAAGCATCTCTTTGGAGTACGGGAGGGAAAGCAGAGTAACCTAGAGAAAACTCGCACAGGCACAGGGAGAACATGCATCCAGGTAATGTATATAAGGTTTTTGCTTAGAGGGGAGATTTTTGCTTGGTGAGAATTTTTTACTGAATGCCAGCAGTCTGAGCTCTGCATTCTGTATACTGGAAGTGTAGTGGTCAAGAATGTGAAATTTACAGCACACCATACAGAGTGCAGAGGTCAGGATTATATGTTAATCTGTGTACTTTACATACATATTACATTCCCAACCTCATTGCTCAACATATGTAATTATGACAAATGTACTGTTTGTTGCATATTCCTGACTACTGCACTCAATACACTGCAGTATATACTCCTGCAAAATGTTATTACATAATTACATGCTCCGGACAAAAGTGTTAATTGTTTGAGACATTGCCTATTTTAACAACTTCAAGTCCGGACACTTTCACCCCCTTCCTGTCCAGGCCAATTTTCAGCTTTCAGTGCTGTCACACTTTGAATGACAATTGCGTGGTCATGCAACACTGTACCCATATGAATTTTTTAGCATTTTTTCGAGACAGATAACACTTTATTTTGGTGGTATTTATTCACCACTGGGTTTTGTATTCTTTTTCTATATAAATGGAAAATTCCAAAAATTGTTAAAGTGTTTTTTCTTATAACATTTTGCAAATAGATAATCTTTCTTCATAAATCTTGGCCAAAATGTATTCAGCTATCTTTTTAGTAAAAAAAAAATAACCCAAATTAGTTTATAATTTTTCTAATTTTTAAATTTTTATTTTATTTTTTTATATAAGTATTTCTTTTTTAACATACTGTAACCATAGCAGTAGTATCACCATAGTGACACTGTACTACTTGTGGGGGGTGATGAAGATGTTTTTTCTTTTTTTACATTGATTGCTTTTACACCCATAAAGTCTGTAAAAGCAATCATTTCTCCTTCTGTCTGGCTGCAATCCTGCAGCCATTGAGAAGTACTGTGAGAGCTGTGATTGGTCACAGCTTGTTACATGGTACAAGGCTGTTGTGAATAGCCTTGTATCATGTGACCTCAGTGATCATTCACAGATTTCACAAGTAGTAAGCAGTGATGTCAGGAAGTCCAATCAGTGATCACATGAATCGAGACCACACACAGAGGTCCCGTACAGCGATCTGTGTTCTGCGGTGCCATGCACTCCCAGGGAGCTTGCACAGGCAATGGATGCTGGGGGGGGGGTGTTTAGAAACGTCCACCCGCATCATCAGTCCTGTCCAGCTGTTTATCAACATGGGCCAGATGGGAAGAGGTTAATAACATTCTTCTTCAAAGTAGGCTCAGAAAAAAAGTGATAGTTCTTTGGTTATATTTTGTATGCAGAAAATGCATATGTAATGGGTCGGGATAGTCAGCCGCAGTTTGGCATTTTCATCCTGAGTGCTGGATGACTTTGTCCCAGTACTGGCAATAGCTATACTCTCTGTGCTCTGTAAAAATGTAAATTGTAGTTAAAAGAGGGCACGAGGTGGCATACACCACCTTATAACTCAGAACAGTTTTAAAAATGGATACCTTCCTTGAGTTCTTTAAGGCCTATTATTTATTTATGTATTTCAGGTACTTATATAGCGCTGTCAATTTACGCAGCGCTTTACATATATATATTGTACATTCACATCAGTCCCTAATCCTCAATAGGTGTACAATATAAGGTCCCTAACTTACATTCATACATACACATACTAGGGCCAATTTAGACAGGATCCAATTAACCTACCAGCATGTCTTTGGAGTATGGGAGGAAACCGGAGAACCCGGAGGAAACCCAGGCACAGGGAGAACATGCGAACTCCAGACAGGTGGTGCCAAAGTTGGGATCATGCTCGCTGGGCATGCACAATGCTGCTTATACAGGCATTTGGTGTTTTTTGTTTCAGCATTTGCAGCAACTGTGATGCACATTTTGGGCATTTAAAGGTATATTTGTAGAGGAGAGTTTGCAGGCTGAAAAAAAAAAATCACAAGTGCGCATGATGAGCCTAAACACAAAAGTGCATGTTTTTCTAGTGTTTTGGGGGGGGGGGGAATGCTTATAAGTGCAAAAGACGTGTTCAATATATTCCATAGGAGCTTTTTTTCTGCTGATTTTATTCTGTCAGCAGTCCATGCATGTTTTCTGCTGCCTAGTGTGCATGGTCCC